TTATTTGAGAACTTGTGTGGGGGAGGGGGGTCAAACCCCAATGCTATTATTGGTTAGCCTAACAACCATTAATAAATATAACAGAATAGCTTATATTCATACTGGAATAAGAGGTTTCTTTGTGTTTTCCTCTGTGTCATGAACTGTTTGGTAATCCTAGGTTCTTTGTTCTGTTTCTGCCTTTGCATTTCCTTCCAAGTGAGCAGACTCACCTGTCCCCACTCTTTACTTTTAGCAGCATCTATTTTCCTCGCTTGTTTCAGTCTTGGTCAGATCTGTCTGCTACCATCATCAAAGCTTATGTTTTGCTTTCTACCTCCATGACACTGAATGTTACGCAAGTCTTTTTCATTCATTATTCAGTATTCACTGTAACCTGATCTTCCAGACAGGTTGCTTGTGTTTAGTTTCTCCGTTTATCACCTCAAAGCTTCTGATGGTCTGTTATTCAGCTTCACTCAGGGATTATATGACAGCCTCTGGCTCTTAGACTGGATGAGGATCAATGTTTAACTCGACAGCACCTGCAGTGAGGATCACGGTGAGAGATCTCCAGCAGCTAGAGATCAGAGAGATTGGTATCTTTGAGCTAACAGGTTTCCTAAATACCTATTGGTGCTTGAGGCTTGGCAGAATGAACCTTTACTAGATCCCTCTGAGACTTACAGTAGAGGAGCTGTGATGCTGTGGGCCTGTTTCCATTTTTTTTTATTCTTAAAGTGCTTTTCATCATTAACACTGAAATTTGACGCTATTTCAAATAAATCAGAATACTGAAAATCAGCCTTCAGGGTCTCTAAATGGATGGTGATTTGAAGCTAGGGATGAAATCTCATCAGAAATGGATTCACATCACATACAAAAGAAAATACCCAAAACAAGTCAGTTACATAGTATATTCTAGTTCCAGTATTTATACCGTTCCGGTTGGTTTATTATAAAAGTGGTGAAATTGCATTGAGTAACCGATTCACAGCATTCATCCCTCCTGTATGAGGATGCAGCCATAGTTGGTGTCTTTGTAATATCGCTGACTTTGCAGCAATCACTCATTCGAAACATGCATGAAGTGACAGGAGAGAGGAAAAGTCCCCTTCACAGGAAGAAACCTCCTGCAGAACCACAGCAGACCAGCAACGACCAAGAGAAAATGTTGTAGAAAAGTAAAAGGTTAAAGGTTACAGAGTGTGAGCTTCCTTCCTTTCTGTGGGTCCAGGGAACACCAACAACCTGTTCAGCATCGACAGGCAGACCGGGCTGCTGACCAGAGGGAACAGGTCTTTGGATCGAGAGACCAGCAGCTCCCACGTGTTGGAGGTGGAAGCCTACAACAGTGATGAAGGCAGCCTGCGGAGCTCAGTGAGGGTGAGGAGTTCAGGAAAACAGGCTTTGACATGCAACAGGCCAGTGGTTTATGCTTAAAGGAATAGTACACCCAAAACATGATTAGCCTTCATTTTCTACTCACCCCCATGCTGAA